CGCCTTAGTGGTATACTCCATTGGAAACACAGGGTCGCATTTCTCGCGAGACACCCTTTAACTTTCTTTGGGAGAGGAGACGCGAGAGAGGAAATCTCATGAAGAGGTGAAAAGAGATAGCAGGAGGTCGAAGAGGAGGGACAGGGTACTGCTAACCAACACAGTCGTGGACTCGAAGAATGTGTTGTATTCTTGTGAGCACTTGGACAGCATCCACGAAAGAGGGGACCACTCGCCGGTGGTGGTGGCAATATAAGGCCTGGCGAGTGGCGCGCCTAACCAGTCCGTAAGCGGCACCTAGAGTCCGAGGCCCGCGCCCTTTAGTTGTACGTTCCTGTCGCGCGCTCTCCCCGGAAGTGTTCAAAACCTCCACCAGAGAATCAACCTTGGTCCTTGGTCGCACCGTGGACTCAGGGCGACCATCTCCGATACTGAGTGAATCCTTGGCACAGGAAAGTCAAAGAGGAGAAAACTGGGGTTCCTGATAAAGGAGAGTGTACCAAAAGCAATACGGAGTGGTCCTGTTGCTAGCTGGAGAAAGGGTAACCCCATCTTGTAGGTGAGGATGAAGTCCTCGCTGGTGCTGCTTCTGGTAGCAGCATTTGCGCTTGCCGGTGAGTACCTATTTAATTTATATATTTAAAGCATTGGGTGACTAATCAAACAAAAATAGAAGCAAAATGGCCGTCGATTCGCCGGCTTCGATGGTCAAACGATTAACCCCTTAGGCACTACGCGCCACTATAGTGGCTTTCGCGGACGCCATCTCTCTGAACGACGCGCTACTATACTGGCGCACTCTACTGGCACACTCGCTCACCGTTTGAAGAAAGTAATCGTTTTCATACATTGTTTCACATTTGTTTTACATCCACATCGATTGGTAATTGTTTTCACAATATACAGCAATATACAGTCTGTTCTTTATCTACCAGTGTCAGGTATGAATTGTTGCTTATTATTAATTATTAGAATAAATTGTTAAATCTTTAAGAAAAATTATAATTTAATCATCAAACACTTCATTCCAATGTACTCGTGTAAAGAACAGCATTATCCGTCACACATTGCAGTGCCTTATCATTTACACGTAATTCGCGTTGAACTCTGCCGTACAGAGAAACAGCCCCGCGCAAAGTTCAGCCGTGCCTAAGAGGTTAATATACGTGCTTTGAATTAAATAAGTGTAAACTTTTTTTTCTAATAGATAATCAATATTCTGAGAATGATAATTTTATTAAGATCTATATAATACTAAATATATTAACCTTAAGAATTGTTCACCCACGGAATGTTCTGTACGTCGATTACCGTTGAGCGCGGAGACAGTTGCATAAGATATTAGAACGTGAAAGCACCGGAGCGGCCCGTCTGGTTGGTCCCGGATAGGTGACGTCATTCCTTTGCCCAAGGCACCAAAAGCCGGTGGGGACAACTTTCCCTGTCTGCGGCGCCCGGGTACAAGTCAGGGAAATGAAAAACAAAAATTATGAATATTACTTACGACGAGATCGTGACAGCGGTTACAGGTTGCCTGTCCGCATGCTCGCTCATCCGGAAAGAGCCGGACGGCATTTCACTTAGCGAGAAACACCAAGCTCTATGCTTACCGGAAAGCTTTTCAGTTCCTCTACGACATCAGAAATGAAGGGATTCCCCATGGGTCACAATAATAACGCTTTTCAGAGGGCGTATCGCGTGTCAAGCGTCAGGAAGACAGTACAAAGAAGGAGGAGAGCTTTGAGAGCGAGATCTGCAAGGACAAGGACGCCGGAGAATGGTTTCGTCTTGTAGCCGGTGAGGGTGACAACTGTAGGGACGTCATCCAATGCACCAGCTCAGGTCTGCAAGCCATCCGATGTCCTGCTGGTCTTTATTTCGATATTGAGAAGCAGACCTGCGACTGGAAAGATGCCGTCGACAATTGTAAACTGAAGAACAAGGAGCGCAAGGCCAAGCCACTCCTTTACACCGATGAGCCTCTCTGTCAGGATGGCTTCCTTGCCTGCGGTGATGGGAACTGCATCGAGCGCGGCCTTTTCTGCAATGGCGAGAAGGACTGTGGTGACGGATCTGATGAAAACACTTGTGGTAAGTTTATTAATATATCTATATATGTGATTACCTGAAGAAAGACTCGTCGCTCAGCACTTTCTCTCGCAAGCTGCCAACTTCAATCCAGATCTCACAGAATTATTACAAGGAGTGATTGAATTCTTGCTGGAATGAGGGTGTCAGTCTCCTGATATAATATCTATAAAATAGAGAAAGGTGATCAAAGATATATGTGTATATATATATATATATATATATATATATATATATATATAAAGCCGTCATTTCTGTTGTTCTATAGACATGGACAATGATCCCAACAGAGCTCCTCCCTGCGACCCAGTAGTCTGCGTTCTGCCTGACTGTTTCTGCTCTGAAGATGGTACCACGGTACCCGGTGACTTGCCATCCAAGGACGTTCCTCAGATGATTACCATAACCTTTGACGATGCTATCAACAACAATAACATTAATCTCTACAAGGAAATGTTCAATGGAAAGCGCAAAAATCCTAACGGTTGTGACATCAAGGCCACCTTCTTCGTGTCCCACAAGTACACGAATTATTCAGCCGTCCAGGAAATGCACCGCAAGGGTCACGAGATAGCCGTGCACTCAATCTCGTAAGTGTATCCAAATATTTTGTAAGCATGAAGTAATCCTGGAACAGAGTTAATTAACAAGATAATAATTCACTTCAGGCATAATGATGACGAACGCTTCTGGTCTGATGCTACGGTCGATGACTGGGCCAAAGAAATGGCCGGCATGAGAATCATCGCCGAGAAGTATGCCAACCTGACTGATAACAGTGTCGTGGGTGTCCGTGCTCCTTATCTTCGAGTCGGTGGTAACAATCAGTTCACCATGATGGAGGAACAAGCCTTCCTCTACGATTCCACCATCACTGCCGCCCTGAGCAATCCACCCCTATGGCCGTACACCATGTACTTCAGGATGCCACACCGTTGTCACGGTAACCTGCAACATTGCCCAACCAGGTAAGCTTAGAATTACTTTGAAGGACCTAGTGAACACGATGATAATAATAATACAATAATGCAATCATCTAATCATTAATTGATAAACAGATCCCACGCCGTTTGGGAGATGGTAATGAACGAGCTTGACAGAAGAGAGGATCCCCAGAACGACGAATATCTACCAGGTTGCGCTATGGTCGACTCCTGCAGCAACATCCTAACAGGTGACCAATTCTACAACTTCCTGAACCACAACTTCGACCGCCATTACGAGCAGAATCGCGCCCCTCTTGGCCTCTACTTCCACGCCGCATGGCTTAAGAACAATCCCGAGTTCCTGGACGCATTCCTCTACTGGATCGACGAGGTCCTGTCGAATCACAACGACGTCTACTTCGTGACGATGACTCAGGTCATCCAGTGGATCCAAAATCCACGCACCGTAACCGAATCAAAGAACTTCGAGCCCTGGAGGGAGAAGTGCGTCGTCGACGGACCCCCAGCATGTTGGGTTCCGCACAGCTGCAAGCTTACTTCGAAAGAGGTTCCCGGGGAGACGATTAATCTCCAGACCTGTGTCCGTTGTCCCAACAATTACCCATGGGTCAATGATCCCACCGGAGATGGCTTCTTCTAGGCCCTTAATACATCTGACCAAGTCACCCTCCACCCTCCTTACTTCGAAATGAAATCATCTAAGATAAAAAAACATCATATACATAAAGTCATCCTCGTCGACTTCCCTTTTAACGTCCAACGTGACTCGCGTGGCCTATCTCATAAATTTATATCGCACGAGTACCGAAGTGACTAGTACCTGAAGTACCACTCAACTGCGCACTGCCATAATTATCCAGACCCTAATAATATATTCAATCCGGCCACGTAGATGACTATCATTGGAATTCCTTAGTTCCAATGCATCGCCATTGAAAGCCTGATTCGTTTATGGCCCGTACGGTGCGCCATCGACCTCTTGACACATGGAAAACCAATTCCAGAACCGACTCGACTTTCGAGTGGCTCTTTATGTATTTGAAAGTGAACCAACCACGTATGTACAGTTGTTCGTCAACGATGGCCTTGGAGTGGGGATGCAGACCGATCGGTGCTTGGCAATGATTCCCACTCCTAGGTATCGTTCACGCTCCATTGTACCAATACGCTCAATACGATCACATGCACATTTCTGCAACGTATGAAAATACGCAGATGCGTGACCAGTGTGAGCAACGTATGAGCACACACGAGGAAAGTTATATGCTATTACACTTTCAATATACACACGCACGTGGGATTTATCAGAGTGATGGTATAGAGAGGAGAAATTTATAACAAAATATATATATATACATATACATATATACAAACGTACATCCATACACGTACACATCCACACACGCACTTACATATTACCCTATCACTGAGGATGATGACGATTGGCTGTGAACGGCTACCAAGTGTATATGCTATTTTTTTATTCTCCACGTCTTAGGTGCTTTCATTTGAAATCAAAGTGACTTAAGCACATACACGTTTATACTTAAACGCGCGAGATGGCGGACTTCGCGCGGCGGAGAAGTCTGCAAGTGAGACTCGACATGTAATATAGACACGACTCCCTTTATGTTCCTGTTACTCCTTTCTATACCATCCTTATTATATTCCTTCTTCACATGACGATGATGCAATGGAGCACGTGTGATATACTTATTCCTTAATTCCTTGTTTTCCCTGTATCCATCATCCTTTCATTCTTCTTGCCTCTTCACCTGTGTATTGTTCCCTTCAGCAACCGCCAAAACTCCCCGGAACACCCTTTTTTTTTTAAGGGTTGACCAACCAAACTATATATATATATAAATATATATTTTAAATAAGTGATACTGTTCTCAAAAAAAAATCTTTAATAAAACACCTTTAAAAATTAATACTTATCCTTTTTATTCGCGGCATTCTTCTATTGTATTTTATGTATCTTGTGTTACCTGTATTGTTTTTCATAGTTGGTACCTCTGGATAAACTTGACTGTGTTACCGCTATCCGAATATTGAAATACGATCAGTTCCACGACCAAAGACCTAGTTGACTCCTGTGGAAGATAACATTAAGAACAAAATTACATTTGCAAGTATATCAATATTGTTGAGAGTAAAATAGGCGTTTTCAAGAAGAGTGTTTCTCCTAGTTCCATATTTTATTTTATACATCGGATAATATACGTGGGAGTTATCAAAAACGGGGTCATCTATCGACTGAGTCCTAATTTGTCGCACTTAAAAAGCCCAAGGTCTGTCAGGAGGGAGTATCTCATCGAAATGGAATATTAAGATCAAGGCTGATCGAAGGGGGTGTACAAAGTGGTTATACGAAATCAATATCAATAATGATATTACAAACGCATATGTGTACGAATTCCGTGAGAGACAGCAAAGAGGGAATAATTTTTTAATTGAACCTAATTACGAAACAAGACCTCTCCATTGACAAAATGGAGCAGTTTGGCCCGGTAGCTATGAAAACCAATAGTGACTGGCGACGTTAACCAAGTGAAGTCGATTCTACCCAAATGAAATAAACCAAACCAGTCCTCTACCTGCTCCTGAGAAAACGCTTGCATTCTTTAATACGGGTTGGGAGGCCAATACTGCGACACGACAAGCCCACGTAACGAGCCAGAGGACTTTCTTATTCGATGGCAGACATTATTTCTGCTTGACATTTTGTACCCGAGTGGGACCCTGGCACCGATCCTAACACAGGCCACTTTTGTGACAGCAGGCCAATATAGATTATTGGTTCTATTAAGAATCCTTTAAGAGATCATGTACCATTTTTACAAAATTTTTACTTCAGGAATACTAGCAACTTAGATGGACACCTTCGTCAATCATTGCGATGGAAACAGACGTCACTGGATGTTATATATTTAAATGCTTTGTAGAATAAAATTGTTAAGTCGTCGTGGCAAAGGATTTTAATGAAAGCTATACATATATAAGCTTATTAGAAGCTTTTTAAAAGTTATGATGCACAATTAATTATCGAGTCAACGGATGTTTGTGAAAAGTTCTGAGCTAACCATAATGGCTGGTGAGTGTTTCTTAAATGCCAACAGGCCAATAAGCAGAGAGTCTTGACGTAGCAACGTGATGGACTCTATACATATACATATTGTACAGTATAAAATTATTGCCTGAGAGTCTTAATGGAAGAATAGGCAATCTTCTATATTGAAATTTTCGGAAAGCATCGCCCCAGGTTATTTTTACCTGACATAAGCGAAAGGACTGGTCGTATGTTTTTGATATGGCCTTCGTTGGTTTCCCAGTGATGAACAAGATGTCCACGGTTCTCAGAAACAATGGCTGATTTTGTAACTGTCAATAATCGTTATTTTTTTTTAGCAACTCTACTCTTTCTCTTCTATTGTCTTTTCTCTTTCGGTATTTATACTACCTCATTATTTGTTAACTCGACGATGAAAGGCTGCACGTCACTGTTCGAAGGAGTCTTATTAATGGATGACACGCAAAATTCGTATACATCCTTTTAACGGCCACCTATAAAAAATATATATATATAAATGTGTGTATCCTTGTTATGGAAGGATCGGTAACGATTTTATGGAATGCAGCTCTACCTTACCGCGCGATAAATAGTCTGTCTGCAAACTACACAGGGATACACCACCTTAAAATGTCGCATAAGCGAAAGTAGAGAAAGCTGCGTATCTCAGCATCGCGAACGGCAAGGCTATCTATACTAATGTAGCAGATAAGAGGACGAAAGGAACGTTTCTGCTCGTATAGAGGGTAAGGAAGAGAAGTATACCTTGAAACAAAATAAAGGACTTATGATTTGATTATAAATAATTAACATTATTTTACGGTCTATAAAAAGATCTCTTCCGTCTTACCAGTTACATTGAATAAGTAATATCCTTGGACGATCTTATTATATCAATTTGAACAGCCGCCCTATTGCATCTTGAAGGTCGTATGAAATATTGAAGTGTGACTTTGACGACTTCATGGTTATCATCGTCTTCCGAAGCAGGATATCGAATCTATAATCAATATCGTCTATTAGAATACAATTAGATTTGTCGTGAAAGTTACTAAGATTTAGATAACCGAGGTCACGTTTTTGTAATTTCAGACGACTTTTCGTAGTGCTATAATATTTAAATTACATATAGAATTAATTAAACTATATCAACGTCAAAGATCTAGATTATACGTTGAATAGATAAAGAGGTATATCATACTTATGTAAATTGAATTGAATAAATAAATAATATTCTAAAAACAGTCTTGGATCGTGTTGATTATATAAATTAAATAAATTTTATTTTGCAAAACGGCGAGGTTCGACGCGAAAAAATTAATCGTCAAATAGAAGCGGTGAAATTGATTCCTACTAGGTCAGTGGGTAAACGAAGGCGAGTGTTGCTATGTCTGACGCTGTGGCGTTTCTAGCGAGTTTTGCGACAAGCGAGCTGTAAAGGCTTATACATTATACATATCTGTACTCAACGCGAATCCCTGTATTGAGAGTGAGACCTAAAGCAGTTCGCGGTACTTGATGATTAGATGTAAATTCACTGTTGGTTTACATGGCTAATTTCACATGTCTAGGAGATCATCATGCTCTTTATTAGAGAAAATAAAAAATAAGGCGAAAAAGAAATATCCTTCGAGCCGGATTTGAACCAGCGACCTATGGATGTCTCTATGAAGATCAATGCCAACTACAGTCCACCGCTCTACCAACTGAGCTATCGAAGGTTCGGTACTGTATGAGGTAATTTTGTTGGTATTTAAACGTCATACAAATCTCTGTTCAACTTATACGCAAATATACGTCCACATTCTAAGTGTTGTTAGCACTTAGTGTTAAATCCTGTATAGCGATGTGTATGGTTGGTACATATGTATATATGCGTGAAGGTAAAGAGTTGAGGCATAACGATTACCATGACGATATTATTACCAGCTACCTGTGTTACACGAGCGTTCCGCTTGACTGGGCAAAATCTTATTCTCACTCTAATTCCTGCGAATTGGCTCCCTGTTTGTAAGAGCTACACGTATATAGACATACCTGCGAGTACCGAACGTGCTGAAGAAACTTTGAATAAGGAGGCAGTTTCTTAAAGGGGATTCGACAACGTCAGACGAAGAGGTCCATTTTCCTATCACGTTCTTAATGCCAAGGCACTTTGTTTCATGAGCAGGAGTCTGCGGTTTCTATGTACTCTTGCAAAAGACTCTTGCAACATGAAGTATTCATGAAAAATAATTTGGTATCTAGATGGATTTGACAGGGTTCTATAAGAAAGCTCAGTACACAATCCAACTATATAACGAAATGTGTACGTTATGCCGGGTGGTCCAATCAAAAGTAGTCATCGTTGCTAACGTGCCCGTCTAGTCTTAATACTTTACCTGTGCCAGCCTGCATATCGCGTGTTAAGAACGTGAAATAAAGAAGAAGTAACTCAAAGTAACTGAAGGACAAAATTCTACGTTTGGAAAGTCGACGACCCCGCAAACCATAATATCATGGGCACTGGGCAATGGGCCCCCTCAAGCCTTAAGGCATGGCCGAGGCTGTTACCAGGAAACAAAGTGGAGCAGCCCCACCCTGGACGACGTTCCACGATGACTTACTCTTTCACGAGAGTAATGCGTTTACAGGACGTGACTAAACTTTGTTACCTCTCTCTCTCTCTCTCTATATATATATATATTGTAAATAAAAACTTATAGTTACTCATCGATCAGGAGTTTGTAAGATAAGGCCCACCATATGCGTGGACGGTATTATTCTACAGCCATATAAATTTCTATGCAGTGATACCACACCCCGTACAGAATCGCCCACTATGGCATTCTTTCCGGCTTTTTTACACTTCCGAGTAGATTCACGTCTATCACCGCGTGAAGATGGAAAACGTGAGGGGACGACGTGATCGCCTTCCGCATCTAAAATAAATGCGCCAGGTAAGAGTCCTTCGAACGCAAGGACATCACAAAGGATTGTCAGCGCGTGACGCCGACGTTCACGCCATTTATAATTCATTTGTATTACGAGTAGACTCTAGTTGAGCTCACTAATTTTCTTATACATACAATGATAAAGCACAACTAACATTTCTTTTACTGTACTTACTATCGTACTACTAGGATGTCTTCCAAGTGCCGGCATTCTTGCCACAGCGGAATAGCACAGGATAGGTTATGGCGTTACGTTATTTCTCATTATGTATAACGACACGTGGTTCCCTTCGTAAATTGACAAGTCCCGTTGAGTTTTCTCTAAGAAATAAACGTCCTCGACATTTCCTTCACTTCTCTAATTCTCATCGCGTGGAGAAGGATCGTCTCGCTCGAACATTTAGAATTGCCACATCCTGTATGTACAACGAGTTATGTATACTTACTAACAGGTCCTATGTAGATGTATACCTATATTCAATTATATAAATCCATGGATTTCTGTTCCATAGACTTAGATGGGATAGCACTGTATTCGCTAGAGAGACACGAGCGCCAGAGATACGTAACGGGGCCATTTTGAATCATATGGTGGAGATTCTAGGTTGTATACATACACAGTTCTCTTAGCAGTGCGTTACGTGACATATAACATTTGACAGTGAAAGTTATCCGATGCCTTGGGCCAGAGGCGTATCCATACTCAAGTCGAATCTCAATCTTATATGTATATGGTTATATAGATGTATTACATATACAGGGTTATTCAGGCCAAACGCACCATCTGAATCCTAACCTGTCAGTTTGACTTCTATGCTAGAACCAATTCCAATTGGTGGGCTTGCAATGAAAACCCCTGTACGTTCCTTCCTTTCCTTATGGCTGACTCCTCCAGTGAGGAGATGTGCCAGTACCCGTGTACGTTCTGGTATTATATGGGTATAATGCTTTTGTTATGTTATATCTGAAGTGTATAGTGTATAGAGGTAGAACTGTTTCCTTGAGGTCTCAGAATAAAAAGGCCCACAGCTCCCATCTGGAACTAAGGGGAAAGTGAAGGCGTTCCGGGCATATCTCTCTTCCATCCAGACGAAGAGGGCTTCGCGTTCCTTCAGGGGCAAGGTCAACACCTTCCTGACCCCTACCATATCAACCTACTTCAACTGGCATGAATCCGATTCTCATTTTCCTTTGTAGTGCCGATCCTGTTTTGCGCATTAGCAGTAGTCATGATATCCTGAGGGACATTGAGGGAGACTTCTTTCTGATCATTATCCACCTCGAGACTTCACCAATGTGCACACGGAGTTACACATCTATGGAACGTTACCGGGTGAAAGTGATAAGGAAGCAAGGTCGACTGGTACCGTCGACGTGGCCGATTAACAGCCTCAGATACACACTGAAATACCAATTTGTCCATAATTTCAGGCATGTCTGGAATTCTTCCGCATTTCGACCGGATATTCACGATATGAGGTGACAAATTGATAGACGTCCTTGGAGTAAGGTAGGAGAAGTGGCTTCGTTTTTTTTTAGGTGGACGGAATCAGGATTTGTTGAAATGGCTGTCCGTATTATACGATCTTCTACCCGTACGAATAAGAGTCGCTTGTTTTGGGCGATGACGTTAAAAATCGTGCATGCTCCATCTTGGAAGTCTCTGACGTATATGTGATATATATAGTATACTTAATAGCTGCCTAACCGGATCGCAAACTACTTTATACAGATTTCCAAGAATTGTGATCGAGTATTGAACCACCATCCCATTTAGAGATACTGTCTTTGTCTAGGAATAATGCGAATTCCAATATACGCTTGATTATATACCCGTATGCCTTTTGGGGTTTGGAATTCTATAAAGAAGTTTCCGTGATAAATAAATAAATATATTGTTATGCACCTAAGTGTTACTTAATTATTTACTAGGTTAGGATTCTTAGTACCACACGATAAGCAACCCTTTGTTAGCAAAGATTGTACTAAGGCGTAGAAGCTCTTCATTATTTAGACGCAACAAAGAGCGAGTCGTCGAACTGTAAGCTCCGAGTGAGCATCGTCCACTCATAGAAAGGAAAATAGAATAAAATTGTGCCATTGTTAACGAAACAGAGGTACAATAAAAAATAGTTTGCTTTTGCTATTTTAGTACTATTAAAAGTGTTGAAGATTATTTTATAACATCCTCACGGCATAACAATATATACAGGGTGTCCCACGACTTATTCCCCAACGGGCACTGGCATATTCTCCGTTGAAAGTAGAACAAAATGCAATTTGTTTGTGATGAAATATCATCAAGTCTCATGTTGGATAAGTCATAGTCTAATGATAATATTACAGTTTCTACTTGAGTGAATATGTTCACAGACGCAAACGCCCGAAACTTCCCTTTTCTACTGCTATTGTTTTCTTTTGGTGATGATTGGAACTTACTTAAAACGATGATATTTCAAAATTTTTAATATTTAATTTCTCGAGAACGCTGCAACCGATTTCATTCGGATAAATTACATTTTGTTCTATTTTCAACGGAGAATATGCCAGTGCCCGTTGGGGAATAAGTCGTGGGACACCCTGTATATATATGTATAGATTGTTCGCGAACTTCCAAGAAATCTCTGACAAATGTGTTTACCAGTATTCGAGGTCGCTATACGCGCACTATAGCATGCACGTTTCATATTCGATTACAATATTCAATTCTATCTGCGATTCCACGTAGTGAGGTCGTAACATTTGTTCCGCGTAAACTTCACTACGACCCAATTTGGGTTACGAAATTATCATCCTCCTCCTGCCACCATGTATTTACTGACAGTCACTCCTGATGTAAATCGAGTAATAATGCTCATCGTCAGCAGCTGAAAGCATGTTCGAAAGTGAAAATAGTTATTAATTGCTTGATAGTTTTATGGTAAATTCTCGGCTGACTCTTTTAAGAATTTGATGTCAGCTACTAGATATCCTTTAATAATATGTATATGTACAGTTTCGTTATCAGAAAAATTTGTGTAATTGTTTATAAAGAACTATTTATCTATTGTACATGAAAGATGATAATGCCATATAAAGAGAAAGGCTATACTATAAGCGTGAGTGAAAATTAGTAGAACAGAATCAAAGCATGTGAAATAAATTTCTCTATAATTTGCACGATTGTTTACAAGCGAAAGCACGAAAGCCTGATTTCGCTTAGCGTCACCGAAGCGCGGGAATTTCAAAAGTTCGTTCTTACTTTTGAATGTGCATGACAGAAAATAGACCCTGGGGAAAAAATTGAATTTCTCCGAATTAATGTACAATTTCGTACGACTCAACAGAGTCACCAGTAAAACTAGGAAAAACGTATTGGTCATATCTCGTTGTATATCGTCATTTCTTGAGATAAAGTCTCTATACAAAGGAGACGACCTTTGATGACTTCAGGCTTTCGATTTCATTGCAATTCCCCTGTTGCACCTTGTGCTCGCGCCTCAATGACTAAAGTTCAGCCAACTGCCGCTTTCGAATAATGCATTCGCATTGCAATTGTGTTGGTGTATAAGCGATTGACGTCGGATTAGCATTCCGATTTCTTCCACAAAATTTGGGGGCCAGTTTTAGAAAGGTGGATCGTAAATTTGTGTCGCCTAACGACACGGCAGCACTTTCTTTCAATGATTTTAGATACCAATGCCCGATTGCCTGTGATGTGTGTCTCTCTGATCTTCACGCAGCAATAGCGGCCGTTCCTCGTCATCAGGCGTCCAGTATTCACGATATATCGGTTGAATAACCATTGATATCATCTCACCTAACGAAAGGGACATGATAATCAGAGAAAATCGCGTGCAGACACTTACATGAATTGAGAATGAGCATTAACGGAAGGCCAGGTTGCCCTACAAGGTGAACCGCTGCACCTTCCAACCCGACTAATCCTTGATTCTCATGTCTAGAATAATTTTGCATTCTTCTTTACCTTTCAGCAATAATTTCTATATGCACTTACATCCAAGTATAAGAGGCGCCAGACCTCTCTGGTTCAATGAGCATATATAACAGACAGTGGTAGTCTCTTCTACGAAATTAGACAAGGTATAGCGATGTAAAAGGAAAGTTGAAATTTTCACATTTTCAAAATATTTTTCTCGCCAATAGCATTAATTCTTTACATATTTTTCAAAATTTTTCCCATCCTCATTGCACGACCTCTGTCAAGTCCCGTATGATTCTGCGTACTTGCCAGTAGCAACAGCAGGGACAGGATGCATTTCGAAATACGAGACTCGCATAATTATACCAGGTTGGTTTACCGATGCATCGTGAATGCAACATGGTCGCCAGACGTGGCTCTCCGGATTCGTGAAATAAAAATAAAATGACTTCTACGAACCGAATTCACTCATATAGAATGCATGACGTTGATCATGAAAGAGGTAGGACACCTTTCCCCATCGCAGCTTAAGTATATATTATGAAGGAGATCGTATTAAAAAATACTGGGTCACCATTCCACAGGTCGATTTAATCTTCTGTAATGTCTTTGTCTAATCCAATTCAACTCACGTACTCTAGGTACCTACGCCGATGTGGATGGTCTCTTTCGTAGGAGACGCACGACTACGTGATTTTCACCTTGACCCAGCCCGGGTCATTGTCCACCTTATTACTGTACACGATGCCAGGAACACGTCCGGGCAATGCTCCATTTCATTTCTAGGCTGCCTCGTAACAGAAGGATCAATATTACGCGTACAATTTCAATTATCAATTTCCTATGGATTTTTCTAAGATCAAAGAAACATTCCACCGCGTTCAAGGTCCTCCAGTCGATGGGACATTGGACCCGTAGGTGTAGGCTGTTCTTAAATCAAGATTCCTCGAAGAGGATGTATCGACGATAAATTGTATCTAAAAACAAGTGTATAGAAAAAGAAAACCAGGAACTGTAGGTCAGTGCGCTACCGTGGAAGTCTGGCGCCATGGCGACGAAGACCTCGAGGAACGGATTAACAACTGGTATTTTTATTATTTTAGTGGAATCCTGGAAGCTCGTAAGAACTATATTTATACTAAGTACGATTCCACCTTCACCAGGAAGCCCATACCTGTTAGCTGACGATGAACTATGGACACTCAATAATTAGAAGTTTCCATTCTCAAAAGATATTTTGGTATTTGAAGGAGTGGCTCACGTCGTGTCTTCTCCACATCGTACATGAGTCGAATGTCCGGCTGATATTTTCGTGAGTGCTATTCGACAATTTAAGCAACGTTATATAAGTAAAGGGCTCTTGCTGCCGACGGCGACGACGCTTAGGTACTTTGTTGCTGATTTTTTCTTTTAATCTTTTTTTTCCCCCTAGTTCTTTCGCTCCTCGAAGACTACACGAACTCCTCGCAATATGCCAGAACAAGGGAACTGGTTTGCAGACGCTTTGCGGGTGAACGTGCCAGCTGGCATCTCATGTGCATCTTGCTCCAAGGACTCGACGGTCCTCGCGTTAGAAATGCCATCAAGCCACAACGGGTGACTCTCGCTTTCATTGGCGAAACTAATGAGACGAAACTAACGGCCATTCCGCGTGCGAGATTCTCAATCGCATTTAATACCGCCGATATACTGTTATACGCACTCACTTGCTTGTTTGCTCACTTTATATACGCAAGTTCAATCTGGAGCAGTTGCGCAAGAGTTTAGTATTGAGAACGTATGTGCCTTCGAGGGACGCCATCATCGAGTAGACGAGTATTCGTATATCTAGCTGAGATACAGGCTATCCGGGATGCGCAGGCAAAGGCTATATATAATATTTTTATATAAATGATATTGCCCCATTTTTCAAACAGATTTATACTCTTTGTTTTTGCAATATTTTTATATCTTCAGATAGAATCCTCATGTGTTGTATCGATGAGGCAAGGACAAGACAAGAATTTGGTGAGTCTATAAAAGTTCTTTGCTTACTGCGCCAGGTCAAGCCTTTCTTATTATTGCAGACTGTCATTTCGCTGAACAGCACCCGAGATACCTGTCCTTCTTGCTTCTAGAAACGCCTCCTTTGGTAATTTCGGTTGGCTGGCACAGGCGTACCATTTTCTTTATGGACTTTCTCTATGTGTACCTAGGCGATAGGAGATCAATGGTTTTCATGATATGAAGCAATTCGGTCTTTAACGACAAATCTTTAAAGGAACCGATGGACGTAGGCGTTTAAAGATGAACGACGTTCTACGATGCACATTCTTACAGTTATGTCATCGTACTTTCATTCCCGTAACCGTACGCATGATTACTGAACTACTCGGATTATAATTGACACAAATTTCAGAGAGAAGGTATTTTCAAAAGTTCCTTACACTCACTTGGCGATTGAAGATTTCTCATGGTTCAACCCCTAGGGGGTCTTGCCCCAGAGTGATGTCGCCATAGTGTTTGTGGCTTCCGGATTGAAGTTTTCCAAGTTCTAGTGATCGGTTTTACCCCCCCAGTAAAATCTTCGCTAGGATCCTCTGATCCGGGTGAACATTCTGGTAGTTCTGCGGACCATACGAGACCAAGATGGCAGCACTAGACGGAAGGTGAAAGTCCTCCGAAGAAGAGGGAAGGAGTGGTGGTGCACATATAGAGGGGCGAGAGGGCGCGGCTTGTCCAGACGCTTTCTGTCCCGCCGACGACGATCATGTCGCCGAAGTTAATATTCCTACTAGGATCCCTCTGTCTACTTGCCGGTGAGTACTCTTTAATATCAGATAAGTTTACTTTATCACTGTTCTTAAATATTTCGGAAACAATCTGAAGAAAACTGCGCGTATCAGACTTATCGTAAATTAATTTTACAAAAGGTGTAATTTAATACGGTACAATTAAAACATCCATTTCTGATTCTTTATTCGCAACGCGTTTCCAAACCCGATGTTTGTGCGTTGTAGCAGAGAAAAATGTTTTCGAGAACGCGAGTACAGTTTATCAACGAGCGTGACGTAGTGGATCTCTATCAAGAAACGAGGATCATTTATATATAAAAAATCAAAAGGAACGAATGTACACGGGAACTGATCGTTATCCAAAATGGAGAGTATCGGAGAACCTACTTTGGAGAACCACTGTCGCTTTCCCCCCCGGTCGCCCTGACATTTCCAAGACTTTCTACTGCCCCGAGAGTTCAATGATCCCCCCGCGGAAGGCATCAGAGGCCGTACAGCGCATAATCCGCAAATTAATAATAAATCACGAAACACGCTGAATTATCTCATAAAGATCTATTCTCAAAATTAACGTATATTTTCAGTTACGGTGAGGGCGCAGGACGACGATGGTGGAGATGGATTGGAAGCAACCGCAGAAGAACTCTGCCAGGACAGACCCGGGGATGAGTACTTCCGCTTAAACATCGAAGGAGACTGTCGTGACGTTGTGAGGTAAAAACCGGAATAAAAGTTGCAAAAACCAACTGAATACAAATAAAAAAGAAGGGAACCACAGCCTCCATTCGTTAACCACAAAGAACCATTTACGGTCGACCATTTTGCAACTCTCTATCGCGAATAAAAACATTTCCGCAATTGCATAGTGTGCAGGTTAAACTCGCTATAGTACCACCTACATCTAGTGCGATGTACGCATTGCGATATCAACTACCCTTTTTATTTCTTTTACTCAAAGAACTTTCATTCCCCCCCATACGTGTCACTCAAGTACAAATGAACACGCGTAACAATAACGTAACCAAGGTACCAAACGCACCTACCGCTACCAGGGACACTTTATTAATTTCCGCATACTTAACATTTTTTTTCTTACCCCCTTCTATTTTTTCATTTTTTTTTCCATCACGCCAATGATCAGCGGTAAATGATTTTTTGTGGATCAAATCCCTTTGTCACTTACCGACTTACAGTGGTTTATTGTTTCCTGTGGAGGGGTGGATAAGGGAAGGGGAGGGCCCAATGAAGCGATAGGCTTAAGAGGCTTCTATGCTGCCACACCTATTAATACGTTGCATCGGGAAACACTTTCCTACCGGTTACTTCAAGGTAATAGAATGTCAGTCGCGTCTGACGTTGTGAGCACCGTCAAGGACTTCGCCTTCTTCACTAATCGGGACTTAACGGTGAACGACGAGAATCCATTTGCCTTAAGAGTCTTCGCGAAACTCAGATAGTGCTTGCATAGACATAAATTTAAAAAAAAAGCTACCTGAAGTAACACGGAACGCAGTATAGAACATGGTTCAAGGCGAACGTGTCTTTTTATGTCTATCATCCATCCTCCTGGTACCAGGACGATACCGGTAGTACGTCGCAGTATAGTTATAACACTGGTACCGATGGGGGATAAGGATGAAGAAACTTTGGATGAGTCACGAATTAGAGTTTCGGTTCGAGTCATGTTTAACTTGATCTTCAAGGACTATGGGGCTACGCGGTTGACTGGTCAAAAGGAGACAAGCAAAGAAAAAGGTATAAGAAGTTACTTCGGTAGAGGTGGAGAAGACTGTTTAGAGAAAACGAAGAGAAAATACTTAGAAACTGTGTCTGTGGTCGAGTAGCGATTTTATCACGAAGTTACGGTCTCTTGCAACACGTTTGATTTTCTTTGAATTTTATTGACAAATATATATTAACATTGTGACAATGTCATGTAGAAATTATTCAGGCTTTTCGTATAGGGATTGTTTTTGTGGTTATGGATTGTCAAAAAAAAAAAGATAACGAAACACATAACCCCCATCTGTGTCTGCCTTCAGGCGGGACAGTCGGGAGTTAAAAAGAGTAAAAGTAATCAATCTGATAACGAATAAATGAAAAATACAGGTGCGACAAAGCCAGTGAAATTGGAGTAACTAGATTGGCTACAGTAAGGTGCCCGACGGGTCTTGCCTTCGATATCGAGAGGCAAACTTGCGACTGGAAGACCAATGTGAAGAATTGCGATCAGCTCGAGAGTAAGCACTGTTATAATACAATTGTTAAGCTCAAAAACGGCATTTTCCCTTCAGGTGTACAAGGTCCGGCCTGAAGCAAATCACGTGTCCCAGCGGATTGGCCTTTGATTTGGATAAACAAACCTGCGACTGGAAGGGCAAGGTCACCAACTGTGACAAGCTCGAGAGTAAGTGACGTTCGGGGATTACACAAAAAAAAAAAGAAAATAAAAACTGGACCCTCCTGTCTCCTGCTATCAGTAGATACTTGATAGACTATTGTTTATCATGGAGATAGGGGGAGGTTGATCGAATATAATCTCGTAGACTCGCGCCGTAGCACGCACATTCTAGTTCACTAACATCCTTCTAATCCTTGAGCTCAGCATCCCTCTAATATCTCAGAAAATTATTTATACAAATTTATCATCGATCATGAGTCTCCTCACTCACTCATTCACGATTATTCATTTGCTCAATGACATACATGGCATTTTTATCTTACCCTCCTTTCTCTCTCTCTCTCTCTCTCTTTGTTTCTTTTTCTGTACAGATATTATCTCTACTCTTTGTCACTAATCAACACGCTTTCCTCGATGCTTATGATTGATCGTAGTTTGTTTCTAACGACACTATTATACGAGCCCGAGAAGAACTTCAACTCGTGTCCCGTCTCTAACGCTCTCAGCAAATCTCTAATTCAACTTTCACACTAAGCGGCAGCGCCCCGTACTCGCATCCGGTACCAGGCTGCGCGATGATGCTTGTGCGCACGATCTCTAAAATCGGTTTCACTCGTTCGACCTCGTTTACAATTGCAGATTCGCTTAGATCCACGTGCGCCAATCGCGCTGTTTACTGTATTCTTTCTCAAAGTTTTCCTTTTTAACAGAAAAAACTTTATATTCCTCTGGCAGGATTTTTCATCTTGGCTCTATACGCAGAATCTCTTTCTTCCTGAAACGCTACGTGTTCTTTTGCTTATTTTGCAAATTACGTGATACTTAAAAATATATGGCTGTTATCCATGCTCTACCTCACTTTCTGTACGTGTACGTTATTAACGCAAAGGCACGGGGCGAAGTCATGAACTTATTTTAACTTTCTATTATTTACGTATCGACGTTAACTCTTATGAATCCTTTTTTTCACGACACCCTGACGCGTTTCCTCTGTCTTTCTTTTCTGTTTTTATGTTGCTCGTGGCTAAAGCTCTCTGAATGTTTGCTCTTGTATGTCCTGTCTATCTTCTGTCTGGTCTGTCTTTCTATCTGTCTGTTGCTGTTCACGCCTAAAAGATGTTATTTACATCCAAAATGGGCGTGTTTTATATATTTAATAACAAATTATATAATTAATCGCGTGCGTCGCCGTGAGTAAACAATTACTTTTTTTTAAACTGAACCCCGCGTCACAACTCGGTCGCTTATATTTAAATTTGCACGAAAAAGAAAAGTCTGGACACGTGTAATGATATACGCACATTCAATTATTACGAGACGTATACATGGACACACACACATACAGAGTATTAAATAATTCTAATGCATAGGTTTTACATAGTGTGATCCACTTAGATTTGGATCTGGTTTGTAAATATTAAACATAAGTAATGCGTAAAGTGTATGGAGTTGGGCCTTGGAGAACACCTCACAATCAGTCAAGAATCCTTATTGGTATCTCAAAGGATTAATTATTATTAACAAAAATATATACACGCGTTTACAGAGCCTCGCAAGGTCTTGCCTATTCTGAAGACAGACGAGCCCATATGTCCTGAAGGAAAACTTTCCTGCGGAAATGGCGAGTGCGTCGATAAGGAACTTTTCTGTAATGGCAAACCTGACTGCAAGGACGAATCTGATGAGAATGCCTGCAGTAAGTCATAGCACTAGCGACAAGATAAAGCAGTACCTGTAATCAAATTAATGCCCTTCAACAGTGGATCTGAATCGCTTTCTATTACAGCTGTAGAAACCGACCCTAACCGTGCACCAGATTGCGACCCGTCACAGTGCCAATTGCCAGACTGTTACTGCTCCGCTGATGGTACCAGGATACCTGGCAACATTGATGCTCAGCAAGTACCTCAAATGATAACGATCACCTTCAATGGAGCTGTCAATGTTGATAATATCGATCTGTATGAGGAGATCTTCAATGGTCAACGTCAAAATCCTAACGGCTGCCAGATTCGTGGTACCTTCTTTGTGTCCCACAAGTACACCAACTACTCAGCGGTTCAGGACCTTCATAGACGTGGTCATGAGATCTCTGTATTCTCACTGACGCATAAGGATGATCCTCAATACTGGACCCTGGGATCTTATGACGATTGGCTGGCTGAGATGGCTGGTGCTCGTTTGATCATTGAACGTTTTGCTAACATCACTGATGCATCCATCCTTGGCGTACGTGCTCCTTATCTCAGAGTTGGCGGTAACAAGCAATTCGAAATGATGGCTGATCAGTACTTCGTCTACGATGCTTCCATCACTGCTTCTCTTGGTCGTGTTCCTATTTGGCCATACACCTTGTACTTCCGCATGCCTCACAAGTGTAATGGAAACGGTGGTAACTGTCCATCCAGGTCTCATCCTGTGTGGGAGATGGTTATGAATGAACTTGATCGTCGTGATGATCCTACTTTTGATGAATCCTTACCTGGTTGTCATATGGTTGACTCCTGCTCCAATATTCAAAGTGGAGAACAGTTTGGTCGTCTCCTTAGACACAACTTCAATCGTCATTTCAATACCAACAGAGCACCTCTAGGTCTTCACTTCCATGCTTCCTGGTTGAAGAGTAAAAAGGAGTACAGGGAAGAACTCATCAAGTTCATCGAAGAGATGTTGGCCAGGAGTGATGTCTACTTCGTTACCATGATTCAAGTAAGGAACTATTCATTTGTAACAATACATATTAATTTAGCAATTAAAAAGATATTATCATTTATGCTTTCTTATCATCAGAACTAATTATCATTTCTACTCTTTACTATTAGAAGATATTAACGTTTTGTATCATTCAGGTTATCAAGTGGATGCAGACCCCTACTGAGCTGTCGGCTCTCAGGGATTTCCAAGACTGGAAAGAAACTTGCGATGAGAAAGGACAACCCTACTGTTCTCTACCTAACGCCTGCCCATTAACTACCCGGGAACTTCCTGGAGAAACACTTCGTCTCTTTACCTGCATGGAATGCCCTAACAACTACCCATGGCTTCTCGACCCCACCGGCGATGGATTCTCTGTCAAGAAATAAACCAATGGTCGAGAACGACATGTCCCCTGCTTAGCCCTTATATTCGAAATGAATGCGTGACAACCTTGTTACCACCAAATCGAATCAAAGGGAAACGAAAAGACCGTGTATTAAAGAAAAACATCACTGAAGTATCGGAGACGACGGTGACGCTTTCTGCTGGACAACGTCAGGCATTCTCTGTCCCGGAAATTCCGTCGTTTATTCGATTCACAAGCCTATAGACTCCCGTTGTACATATTCACCAACACCCTATCAATAAGACGCACAATGGAGTGTTGCAAATTCGTTTTAAATGATAAAAAAAAACTAGGTCGTACAGAAACGATTGATCATCTATCGACTTATGATAATGCAATTGAACGAAACTGGAACGTTGTGCGCTGTACCTATTTCTACTTAGAATTTAAGCGAAGTCGTGCGCGTCGAGGTAACTCTTAAAAATCTTAAGCTGTTTCTCAATAAAAAGAAAAAAGTTGAAATACAAACATAATCAACAAGAGCCATCAGGATTCTCTTAGACGCATTATACGATTAACTAGTTGTTATACCTCGGGTAATACCCATCAAGTATGTCCTTTCCCTGAAGCCTTGAAAGTAACATGGTTGCCACTCTTCTTGCAGTGCAGAATAGCTGCTGTAGAATATAAAAGACGAAATGTCAGCCGTAACCTGGGGGCACCTTTCGTTTTCGGACTGCATTCCATTTCATCCACTGTTTGTCTTGCCCCACTAAAACTTCAATTCCACTTTGATTTGCTTATATTATGGCCATATTATTTCACCTAATAGAGTACAGTTCTTTCCAGACATGAAACGTAGTATAATAATTTGGGGATCTGTAAATATAGTAATACCACAATTCATCCAGGAGTAACACTTTAAGCTTTCTTTCTCAGTAGCCTTTTCATAGGAGGGGGTTATGAGTATGTGTGCATATATATATACAAAGCACTCTGGGTTTAAATATTGCCACGTTAGAATTTAAATGCAAATTTCGACGATTAGAAAACTAAACTGTATAGAAAGCAGACATCGTTCGATTTCCCTGACCCAAAAATTAAAATGATTCCCTTGAAAATCTGACTCTTGCTCTCAAAGCACAATAATTATAAGTCCTGATATCAATTACTACATTCATTGATTGATTCCAGAATGTATTTCTAGGAGGAAATTTGTTTTTTGTCATTCTAATGATTGAATAAAGATAATTAAGAACTGTTAAAGATGTCGTAGATATCTTCATTGGATTTTAGTATTATCCGTCTGTACAAGATACTGAATTTTCATTGCAAGGGTAGGAATTACTTTTTGGAATTCTTATTAATCAAATCACTTTCCACAATTCTCCTCGTAAATTTTATTTTCTCCTAATCGAATCTTTTATTTTGTACGTTTAAGACGTAACACGTACGTATCTGGACCATCGTCAATTTGAAGTACCAATAAATTATTATCGCAATTATGCGAAACGAATAATATGCACAATTGCCTAATGAATCCGATAAAAGATAATGAATTAAAAACTCACTTTGTTTCACCCACATTAAATTATCATAATTCAGATCTTAAATTACTGTTGTCACGGAGAACAGGAGCACCGTGAACGTCCTATTCTATCCTTGCGTAGACCATCTAACCATATGTGTGTGTGACAATTTTAGAAATATGGAACATTGAAGTTTTTACGTCACTAAAATAAATGCATTGTATCTTCCTATCAATCACATTCGGTACGACGTCACTGCATAGTTCGTCTACGAGTTTAATGTGCTTTTTTGACAGGTTGAAAACTATGAAATCTTCTATGAAATGGATTTTCATAAAATCTATACCAGAAAGTATGTAGATGCATTATTTTGCACTGAAAGATATATTTTTTTTATATATGTCTGTGATTTTATGGTTAACCACGTGCGGCTTCATTGTTTTCGATCTGTCGAAAATACATAGAACTTGTGGACTAACTATACTTCCTATTTATAAGGAAGTCGAGCGATTTCTTCTGTCTCAATCACGAGACTACGCTTTCCTAGATAATACATTGGTACATACTAGAAGTAGCGTATTGATTTGGTATCATAGCGATACGTTTCTCGGGTCAAATACCGAGATAACTGCAAACTATGAATGCACTGCAGATACTCAGGATGATCAGAATTATCACCAGCCAAAAGGGTAGGGTATCTGAAAGACAAGAATTACATTAAACGAATGTAATTTAAGTTAATCTGACGTTTAATCTTGGTTATGATTAAGGTACTTACGCCTATATGGTATACTGTGAACGCAGATTCTATTGTCCACGGAGATGCTCACTACAGCAGCTTCCGAGTTACTGGTTATAGCGGGACCATCTAATTTTGTTGGCAAGAATTCTATACCGGTGACAAACATGCAATGTGCACCAGGTACGTGCAGTGCCCTTTGTAAACTGAAGGCTATGAAAATGTCTACACTTCCAGAAAACATTGTGCCCACTGCAACAAATCTACCATTGTCTGAGACTGCCAAGGCTGATAGAGTCTCCTTGTACGCAACAGATTTGAGGATTGTTCCTTGATCAACGTCCCACAGCTGGAGGAAACTTGGATTCTTGCCATTGGTAGCATTGGATAATATGAATAATTGTAACTTAGAAGAGTTATCCTCACAATTCCTAAAGCGACACCTTTTGTACATGTACTTAGCACCTTCTATCGGTGGTGTCCATGTAAGCTCTTTTCTTTTTTTACCAGAGGCCACGTCCCAGATAATGGCCTTCCCATCCTTGGCTATGGTAACAAGAAGATCACCCTTGGGACTAAAGTCTATATCATCAATTTCCTTGACGTGTGCTTCTACGTCATGAACTTTAATGAACTGTGGGAATTTCCACAAACGGACATGACCATCTGTGCCACCCGTGGCCATGAATTTACCATCAGGACTTACTCTTACAATACGCTGGAGGGATTCACCCTCGCTGTAAATAATTGAAAAAAATTAACAATACTTTAATGAAGTTTTCAGAAATTTTTTATTTCTATTTCAAACTTAAGAATAACAAAATCTCACCCAAAATCCGTTTGTATACTGTCTGCAGGCTTGACAAGAAGTTGGAGTCTCTTGTGTTTAACATTAGAATTGTTGTCCTTAATTTCTTCTATCCTCTCATTTTTTACAGGAGCATCGCCAACACCACTTCTCTCACTCTTTCTTCTTTGTCTTATTTCATCCTTACTGGTGATACCGGCAGGTTTAAGTATTTCACCATTTCCCACAGTAATTATTTTTGTATTAACATTATACAATTGGCAATGACTTTCTTGACCAGCAACAATCCAAGTTCTCTTTCCATCATTATATGCAGTACAGTTCATTACGACACTAGGACCTGTCTCATGCCGAGTGACTTCCTCAGCCACAAATTGTGCACCATCGTGTGATAGCTCAAATATTTCCTAAAATAAATTAACATAACGATCATCTTGTCAGTTTAGAAAATTAGTTGAAAAAGTAACAAGATAGTCTCTTCAAATTAAAAAAAAGTGCAATACTCACGAATCCATTAGCAACTCCAGTTTTTGAAGATCCACCACCTCCGCCAACGAGGACGTGTCTGCTGGTGAGCATTTGCAGAGTGTACAGAGGGAAATTCACCTTAGCCAAAAGGCCACCTTTGTTCCTTCTTGATGGCATATTGTTTTGTTAATTAAGTATTCCGAGTTCCCTTTACCTTTCTATTAACCAACAAGTAATCGTGGCCAACCCAGAAACTTGTCAGACTTTATTGCTTGTCTTCACTAGCCCAGCCAAAGTTCCACGTTTCACGTTGATACTCGCCCATCATGAAACAAATTCAATCTACATAAAGACAGTCTATGGAAATCTTTGAAAACAACATTTACTCAGTCAATAACAAGATTGGACAGGTATTTCATTACTTCGCCATCTTTAGAAATACTGTTAACTGAAGAGGTAAATAGACTGGACACCTTATGCGATACGGTGACATGCAACCTGAGTATTTTTTAGATTTATAAATGGATTATATCCATTGAAATACTATATATAGATATATATTCTACATATCAAATCGCGAGGCATAGAATACACGAGCATATCTAGTCTATTTATATTCAATTAATGGAAATACCTTCATTGTTATAAGTTATGATAAGTTACTAAAGAAGAATAATGACTTCAATAATTTTGCAGCGGGTACCGTTAGATGGCAGTGTTTAAAATTCGAATACGAACTATTGGTTCATGAAATCTGAATAGGAGCAAGATGGCGGGTGTCATTGCTCGTTGCGTTCAGATTCCAAGGAGACAATTAGGTAAGTTTCACAGGTGTCTTTTTGTAAGCGAATATGTTATTTCATAAATTTGATTATTATATCGTATAATTTTAAATTGTTAGTATACTGTGCTCTGATGTCATTCGTATTTAAAGCGTATTGCACCTATGACGACTCGAGGTTATATAATTAAATTGTATTAATTCATTTAAAGGTCTCCTTGGATATCTTGTGAGTGGTCAGCAAACTAGGACACTTGCCGATGGTGCTCCTGAAGGAAAAGTAATCCAGTATTTTTTGGTGATATTTATCTGTCACTAGACTCAATGATGTCAACACGCCATATCGTGTAAGAGCACTACCAAATGATTCTTTTGTTTTTCTATCTGTTCTTAGAAAGTTGGTGGTCCTTTGGCTGACCAGGACCGCATCTTCACCAACTTGTATGGCAGACATGACTGGAGATTGAAAGGAGCTTTGAAACGAGGCGATTGGTATAAAACTAAGGAAATCCTGGACAAGGGTGCAGACTGGATCATCAATGAGGTTAAAGTCTCTGGTCTTAGAGGTCGTGGAGGAGCCGGATTCCCTTCTGGAATGAAATGGTCCTTTATGAACAAACCATCAGATGGCAGGCCAAAGTATCTTGTTATTAATGGTGATGAGGGAGAACCGGGAACCTGCAAGGATCGTGAAATTCTTCGTCATGATCCTCACAAGCTCGTAGAAGGTTGTTTGATTGCTGGTAAAGCCATGGGAGCTTGTGCAGCATATATATACATCCGTGGAGAATTTTACAATGAAGCCTCCAATGTACAAGTAGCCATTGCAGAGGCTTATCAGGCTGGTTTAATTGGCAAGAATGCTTGTGGTTCTGGTTACGACTTTGATATTTTTGTACAAAGAGGTGCTGGAGCTTACATCTGCGGAGAAGAAACAGCCTTGATTGAATCTATCGAAGGTAAACAAGGCAAGCCCAGGCTAAAACCTCCTTTCCCAGCCGATGTTGGTGTCTTTGGATGCCCCACTACAGTAACAAACGTAGAGACAGTGGCTGTAGCTCCGGTACGTAAAAACTAACTACTCTAAGAGTTCCTTATTTACTCAGAAATTTGGAATGATCATAATCAACCTATATTGTAGACTATCTGTCGTCGTGGTGGCACCTGGTTCGCTTCTTTCGGTCGTCCACGTAACAGTGGCACCAAGCTGTACAATATATCCGGTCACGTGAATAACCCCTGCACTGTTGAAGAGGAAATGTCCATCCCTCTTAAAGAACTAATTGAAAGACATGCTGGTGGCGTCATCGGCGGTTGGGACAACCTGCTGGGTGTAATTCCTGGTGGATCTTCGACTCCCATCATTCCGAAAAGGTAAGAGATTACATCCTTAAATCTAGATTTTGAGAGATTATCTCAGTATAAATTTATATTAATAACCCGTATGCCTATCTGTCACAACAGCGTCTGTGACACTGTACTCCTAGACTTCGATGACCTCGTCAGAGTGCAAAGTTCCTTTGGAACTGCTGCTGTGATCGTGATGAATAAGCAAACCGATGTAATAAAGGCTATCGCCCGTCTAATAAGTTTCTACAAGCATGAGTCCTGCGGGCAGTGCACACCCTGTCGAGAGGGTATCAGCTGGATGTATAAGATAATGAATAGGTAAGTCAATGAGAAAGTTAAACCAGGTCATGTCAAAGAAGATAACTATAATACATTTTCCGAATTGTTAGATTTGTCGAAGGAAATGCCGAGGAACATGAAATTGATATGCTTTGGGAGTTGACAAAGCAGATCGAACTTCACACTATATGCGCCTTGGCCGACGGTGCCGCCTGGCCTGTTCAGGGACTTATTAGGCATTTCAGGCCCGAGATTGAAAATCGCATTAGAAAATTCAAGGTCGCAGCATCCAACTGAAGATCTAAAGAAGTTAGAATAAAATATACCACAAAAAACCTATTATAAAATGCTGTATTTATTTCCAATGTATATAGAGGTGTGTCTACATACGTAATGCAGTGATACCTCCTCCTCTGTAGGCAATGGTTGGCTCTCTTCGGCAGAGGGCTGACTAATAAACGTAAAATGATTATCTCATCAAAGATTCTTTAAATTAAAACATTCATATAGAGTTATGAGCAACACTACTAAGCTTAACTGGTGCACAAATCCTGCTCCTTAATTCGATGAATAATAAATTTCTATCATTTCAACAGAAATCAAAGATGAGTTATTACCACAAAACCGCTAAAGAAATAATAGGGAATTATAACACTCTGAATCTAATGGCTAGCAGGCACTGGAGATGTGCTAGAACCAGTATAGAAAATGCATTATGATTAAGGCACAGAATATAGAGGGCTGACTAATAATATTTCCTCGTCGCTTCAACCACTAACGAAGAGCGTCTGCATAAATGAACAGATCTGATTGGCTATTCTCGTACTCCCAGAACAGTAGTGCATCGGAGAGAAATTCGTCAGCTGTATAGGAAACCCATAGACCCACAGACTTTAAAGTTTACATCAAGCTTCACTATTTTAGAGCAAGATAAACGATTTTTTCACATTCCCAATATCTCTAAATCACGTTTCTTATATATACATCCATATATCTCTAACTGGTTTATAGATAACCAGAAAATCATGTGTGGGTATACAGCATGTCAAACTTTTAAGGAAACTACAGCCTGTCATTAGATGTATCAAGAAAGACTGAACATAAATGAAACTTACAAGTTCGAAATTCCCTCGAGAAAATGAAAAAGTTATCTTGAATGACGTAACAGCATAGACTCAGTGGAAGGGGATGACCCGGAACGTCAAAACAAATCATCCTAGTACGCGTCGACAGTCCCAGAGGATTGTAGAAGTTTCGATTGGAATAATAAAGGGGCACGTGTTCCACGTGACAATAGCAGTACATGGTACATAGTATGTATACGTGTATAAATATATATATATAAAATGAACACCAAATAATAATCTGCATTTATTACTTTTGTTATACAAGAAAATTCGGCTAAATCTAAACGATCTGATTTGGCTACAGTACAAGATATCATTTTTGAATAACGTTACATAATGTGCGTTACATAATATATATACAAAAGCGCTCGCTCAAAATTGCAGACCGATGTCTTCATTGTGCCACTAATCGGGACTGTCTTTTTTGCATTTAAATATCGTTAGTTTACTTAAATAGATAAACGTAGTCGTTAGAGGCCTCGACGTCGGGAGTCCAGAATTGGGTGCTCGACGTCGAGTATTGGTTAGTAAGCGCACACACTGTCTTTTTTTTCTTAAGTAATAGGTCCGTTTTTTTTTTAAATATTTATTGCGATACATCCCTGCTGTTTTTTTTCTGTATCATTAAAAAGGGACACGGCACATATGTATGCTCGCGCCATACTGGACGCGAGATCTTTTATTTTTATCTATAGACCAACTACGATACGAACACGACGCGTAATAAAATATTATTCTGTGTACATCATCGAGTTCCTAGATGATAATCGCGCTTTCATACTCTCATCCATCTAATGTAACTAGCTGGGTTATGATGAGTCAACGACGCGAGCAGACTTCCATGTCAATATAACTTAGTTAATTAATTTACTATTAATCTCTTTCTCGTTCTATCTTTCTGTTATAGCTCGAATAAAAAAGACACATACGTATCCCGTCGACCGACGTCCGAGTGACGAGGTCGAGGAAAGAAGCGATTGAACGCCGATTTTTTCTTGAATATATTTATCTCCGTCCACGAAGAAGATATACCTACGATATGGTAAGCTCGCCGATGCTTGCTTCTTGGCAAGGTGCGGGAAGATTATGCTGATTGTTGGAGTTCCCAGGATACAAATGGACACGGGTCATCCCCGTCGCTGTATGTATATTCCCAGTAAAAATAGATCAAGTCTACAAGTCGGTGTGATTACACCAAAACGCGAAGAGCGTCTCGTACGATTAAGGCTGATGATGATCAAGTTATAATGATCCCCAGTGACCCTGGTTATTTCCAACGATGAGGAATAATCAAATCGAGGATGACGGTCGTCCAGGTCCATTTGATACGTGGGAGTACTCGAAATTGCTCACGAACATATGGAAGGCACGGGGTAGGATATCAAAAAAGGTTATTCCGGGGGATGCTTTCGAAATTCTCGCTAGGAAGACGTCCTGGTGAAACTATCGATCGTCGCCCGTCCAATCGCTGGCAGCCCATGCGGGTAAAGGAGTCTCGTATTCCCATCCTGGACCGCAGTAACGCCATGCGTGAAGATACATCACTAGATCGGATGGCTTAGGGTCTCTGTACTTGACCTTACACTCGTAGCAATGAGGATCAACGGTAACCTTATCATTGGCAAAGCTTGAGTCTGGTGGTTCGGAACCAGTTTGAGTACCAACTGTCACCTTCAAGGATTTCAATTCCTCATCCGGTGGACTTGGCGTGGAGGACGGTGATCCTTCCTTATCACCCGTATTAAGTACTCTGTCCTCTATCTCTAGCTTCGGCTTGAACAAACTCATCTCCGAGTCCCCGTCCATCCCTAACCAGTTTTCAGCGTTATGGATACCTATAAGATCTTTGACCAACTCCTCGTCCGTCTTACCGATGTTACCACCCTTGCCCTTTTGCGGACCGAATACTATGTGGTTGTACAATGGATCATTCACTACAGGGTAACCTAAGTATTGTAAGTGAACTCTGATCTGGTGCATCCGTCCGGTCTGAGGCTTGCAGAGGACTACGGAGGAGGTGCCGTTGTAGCTCAACCTCTTAAAACGTGTCACGCAATCCTTTCCCTTCTCCGAGACTTTGCAGACGCCTATCTTGTACGAGACAACTTCAATCGGCTCTGAGCAGACTACCTCCTCCTCTGGAAATTCACCCTCGACGCGGCAAACGTATTGCTTGTGCACCTGAAAGAATACGAAGGCATATTAATTATTGATCCTCAGGTATAAGCAGTCCACTACGTGGCACAAACGTTCCATGGATGTCCCTAAGACGTCTATAGAACGTCCATGAGACTTGAAACATCCGATATAAATTCTAAAGACGTTTACCGGCCATTTGTGCCGCGTAGGAGTCTTCCAATAATCAAAAGTTCATTTTCTCTTTAGCAGTACCAACCTGTCGATTACGTATCTGATGTTCCATTTGCCTCGCCTTTTTAGGGGTCCTACCAAACAAAAGAATCCCGCTGGTCAATCTGTCCAGCCTGTGAATGGTCCTGAGGTTCTTCAAGTTGTATTCCTTCGCCAAGATAAAGACGACGGTATTGTGTCTGTAACGACCACAGGGATGTACCTGGAATCAGAAAGTGAGCATTTCATGAACTTTCCAAACCGTTTTTAATCCCGGAAGTCAGGTGACTCCAACGTGTCCCCCTAGACGTATTTAATAACCTACCAGACATTTTCAGAAGGAAGATGGAAGGATGCATGAACGAAGGGGTCGGAATGGCCGAGGAAGTCAACATTCTCGAAAGAATATATAAAAAGACCACGTGAGGTCAGAATGAATCTGCAAGAATAGGACTTTAAAGAGGTACCAAGAGGAATGAGATTTTGCAAAGCATTCTTCGTATTTGCCTCTCTTTTGCCATTTGTCTCTTCCTCGCATCGTCTTACGTCACTGGCACACCAGCCAGACGTGAATGAGCACGGGGAACAGAGCGCAGAAGTAAACAGGACGACCCAACTCGACCCATTTCTCCTGGCCATTCGAGGAAAAGCAATCGGCCCGACAAAAGCCGACCGATTTATTTCAAACGTTTGGGACATTTATGTAACCGACGACGCGGTTATATAACAGAGACGCGAGAGAGAGAGAGAGAGAGAGAGAGAGAGAGAGAGAGAAGAGAGAGAAGAGGAGTGAGAGAATTCACTGCAAAACATGTGCGATCAAGGATCGTTAAGGAGCAAAACGTGGCCGATGTGCGTGCACGCTTCAGAAGTATAAACAGGAAGAAGATTCTCGTAAAACGTGACGTTTCGAAATAGCCTTGTGCCGGCTATCGGTCTGACGGAATGGCGCGGATGCGCCAAGCACACAGGCTATAGCTATTTCTGACAAAGAAAACGGATTGCGCCACTTCCGTCGCGGAGATCGATCAGAGGATCGTGGATCATGAATAACAAAGTCTTGATGATTGTACCGAGGGGAACGGACGAGAATAGACGAAGGGAAATTATGAAACTGTCAGGTAGCCTTTACTGGGAAACTGTGAAAAGGGGTTGCGCACGAGGCTGCACGAGGCCCCAACGGTAGCCTTCGGCTAGAATGCAAAACGAATTGAGTAAGACTGTGGAAGAGAAGAGGAGAGAGAGAAGGATAGAGCGCGATTAGCGAGACGATAGAAACGTAACGTCACACTCATTTTCATGCCGTAAGAAGTGAAGGGAGACACGATTGCATAACCATAGGAAAATTGTATAATACCAATTGAGAAATAACGATCACACCCCTTGGATTGGATGCAGTATAGGCTGGAGTTAATTGCATACTAATAAGTCACGCGATAAACGTATAGTCTTTGCATTTTGTGTTGGAAGCAGAACGGCTAAGGAAACACGTGAGGGAGACGCGTGGGAGAGAATAATATGATCTCTAAGGAAAGTGACAGTCACGTCAAGGAGGGAAGGTGAAAGATAATGGACCGTGATGAGAATTGGGTAAACCACACCGTTAAGATAAGATTGAGCATCAGCAGAGACACAGAGAGGCACGCAGGCATACAGACAAGATAGAGCAAAGAGAGAAAGAGTACTCGTACGGACAGAGATTCAAGTGCAGATAGAGAAAGAGAGAAATTATAGTACAGAGTGTAATTAGACGAAGAAAAAGTTAGAGTTAGAGCAGCGTGACGTTAATGAAGTGGACAAGGTGTTAGAAATAGATAATAGAGAAGAAGCAGCGAGATATATTGGCAGTACAGTCCTGGCAGTACACCACTTACAGGGATGGAGGCGGGCTTGTTGACCACGACGACGTCCTCGTCCATGTGTATCACCGTGATCGGCTCCGAGGTGACTGGCACCTCGTGTCTGTAACACACCAATCGTCACCAGCTTAACATGGCTTTGTCTCTTATGCTTAACCATACACCCTCGACCTTCTGGCACGCTTATAATCGCCTGATCTCTCTATAGGATGAGGGTGAACAGTCGCTACGCATATTGTAGTTATTACACCAGGATTCAACGTGGCCTGAAAGATACGAAACTAAGTAATAGACGGGAGTATAGTGTTCTATGGTAAGAGTCAAACTGTCTATGACTTCAGGTATGTCCTAGTGACGTTGAGAATTGTTTGTGGCTTCTAACCTCAAAGTTCAAGGTTTCAGGAGATCAATAAGAATTTTTCGTGGGCCTAGGTACCCCGGTGCTGGAAGAGCTACTGGAATTTTGAGCTATGGAATAAAGTTAGACGCTACAAGGGTATTAGAGACTGTTGAAGATACTTCAATCTAATAAGTTAACAACGCATTCTGTTGACAGGCTTTTGAAGTTTTTCAACAAATGTACCGGGCGTATAAGAAAGAAAAATGCCTCCAAAGTACTCTATTCGTTAGGCACGTATCTCAGTGATTCTGACCCAGTTTCATCAAGATACTCGCCACGTGTGGAATTAAGTTAACCCCATCGTTAGGCCCGACGGCCTGAAATCGTTGTTACGGCACCCTTACCCACGTTGTGTACAGATGGAAAGAATGGAACGAACGAGGAGATGTAGGAGGGAATTCGGGCTTCTTCCAATTTAACGCTCGTCTTATCCTCGTAGACGACGACGCTACGCCCAGACGAGCATGACGAGTTTGGTCGTCAGAGCCAAAACAAATTTCATCAGAAGGAACTAGGAGACACGCGTTCTCGTACTCGCACGTGTACCATATGTGTCGACGCGTATAACTGACAGTCCGAAAGAAAAATTACAAGATCAGTTTACAAAAGAGAAGGAAAAAAAAGGACGGAAGGCAGAATGGGTAATCGGTTTAGAGAAGACCAACCTGGAACGGTATGAAGAAGTTCAAAGGGTTTCTAGCGTAAAATTCAATTTAGGTTACAAACGCGTGTCTTCCGACCCCTCGTGGTTAAATTAGCAAAGAGCACCTCAAAGGTTTAACCAGCAGAGGACGAATCAACAGACAAGCGTAGACAGTTAGACAATCGTACTAGGAACTATTTTACGCAGTAAAGAGAATTACGTTGCGTAAAGGCGTGTAGGGACCTAGGGAATATACTCGAAGTAGTTGGTGGTCACGTTCCCCGATAAGCCACTGTTGAGCGTGTTGCAAGGTGTAACCGCGCCCTAAACCGCCGATATCATCTATGCTCGGTCTAAGCTAATAAATCAAGCTGTCGCCGAGTTTTAGTCGCGCCCACGACCCCTGACACGCTTCGATGCCGTCGTCCTCTACCTCCTGGCTATAGGTACCTTCCTTAGCTCGTGGATGATCATCAGAGTGCCTGCAATGTGTATGTACATACGATACCGAAATATATATAGCATAATGTTTCCCATTACTAAGATTTCAGTATAGAACAGAGTGAAAGCACCGACAATCCAGGCAGTCCTGCCGTCGCCTTTAACCACCCTTGAGTGTCTCCAGTGATAATATCCCGTAATATCGCTTAAATTCCACAAGTTTTTTACCGTGCACGAGAGGACGAGCTTGAGGACAGAGGATGGGGGTTGCTGTAACGCTTGGAAGCAGGAGAATTGGCTGAGAGAGAGAGAGAGAGAGAGAGGGGGGGAAGAGACAGAGGAGCAAAG